TGTAGCCAATGACTTTTGGTTAGCAAATGAATCTCCTTTATATATAGTCTAGGCAATTTACAAACTGCTGGGGTTTTTTGCCGTGTCTCTGAGGGAGAGAGACTAAACTTGAACTCTTTAAAGAGGGGAGGCTCAGTTTTCTATAGCATTTTGCGTCCCTCAGATGTCAGCCCCATTGGTTTTCTAGGCCAGACGTGTAGGGGGCTCATCTCTCTGGTGCAGATTCCAGGGGTTGGGACCTGATGTGGGCCACCAACTTCTTGCTCTTCTGGAAGAAGCACCTGTCCGGTGAGATATCTCTCTATTGTGTGTCCCTGCACTGGGGGTCAGGCTTGTGAAACCGTGTCTCTGCCATTCTCGCTTGTCTCACTATGGTCCTTTTATTCTTTGTGGAGAATAGTTCACCTAGCTTTTAGATTTTTTTAGAAGGAAATGATCCATATGTAGCTGTAAATTTTGTGTGTCTGTGGAAGGGGGTCAGCTTAGAGTCTTCTTATGCTGATATCTTGGATCCCACCCACAATAGAGTTTTGCTTATAGTGTCCCATAATTTATGTAGGGTTTTTTTTCACTTTTTTATTCTCAATTATTTTTTTCTCCTCTGATGGGATAATATCAAGAGATTTATCTTCAAGTTTTCAGATTTATTCTCCTGCCTCTTTGCACCTGCTTTTGAAACTCTCTATTGCATTTGTCGTTTTATTCATTGCATTTTTCATCTCCAGAATTTCCATTTGGTCACTTCTATTCTTTTTATCTCTTTGTTTTACTTATTGTTTTGTTCATGCATTGTTTTCATGAGTTTATTGAGTTGTTTATCTGTGTTCTCTTGAATCTCCTTGAACGTCCTTAAAATAAATACTTTTGGATTCCCTTTCATGTAATTCATATATCTCACTTCTTTGGAGTCAGTTACTAGAAAATCACAGTATTCCTTAGGTGGTGTCATGTTGTCTTTGTTTTTCATATTTTTCTTGGCTTTTCACTGATTTTTGTGCATTTGCAGTTTCAGGCACTTCTTCCAACCTTTTTGGACTACCTTCAATGGAACAGACTTTCAAGTGAAGATAGCTGTGAACGTGTCACGTGGGTAATGTGCAGTGTCTGGTTTCTAGGAGGGCATAGTGGACAAGACTTTGTGCAGTTTCATCAGCTGAGGTCGACATTGACACAGACTGCAGGCAACTTTTCTGGCCAAGATTGCAGAAGCCCTGTGGATGCTATTGTGATCCTTGGAAGTGAATGCTGCTGAGGCCTTTCTCTTTTCTTTAATCTCACATGGGAGGAAGTTCTAGTCAAAGTTATGGCTCTTGGGGCCTGGCTGTCATACTGGCACTCAGAGCAGTAGCATGGTTAGTATCGCAGGGTTGGGCACGTGCAGAACAATCACAGCTCCTGGGTCTGGGGGTGCAGGTGCACTTGCTGTGGCAGTGGGACTGGTCTCTAATGTGTGAGTGTACGTAGATCTGTGAAACTAGGGTCTGGTATTTGGGCTCTCCACAATGCCTTGGGCTATGGTAGGGAAGGCGTCAATGGCACAGGACAGGACTGAGAGCAGCAGCAGTGCTTACCCAGCAATTATGTGTCAGACCCATGACCTGGGACTGAGGGCAGGGTGAACAGCAGCAGCTCCAGTCTCATATATGGTGAGACACTGTGATGTCCTGATCCTAGATATCAGAACACAGCAGTAACTGAGACCCCTAGGGGAAGTTCTCAATTCAGCAACACCTCCAGACCTAGTGAGGAGATGTGCTGATGAGGATTACGAGCAGCCCAGTCAGCTGGGATCAGCATTGGTGAAGACTGGGGGAGTTCTCAGTAGCAAAACCTGTAAGAGTCCACAGTGGTGAGGCTTGCTGGGGATTTCCTCCTCTCTTTTTTCCCCTGAGGGTAAAATTACTCTGAGGAAATCCTTCCTGGGTCCAAGCCGCTTTGAACTAGGGGATGTGTTGACACAAGTAATATGTTTCCTACACTTTTGTGTGTGGTTATCCCAGATATTTGAGCTCCACAGTGTTTTTTTTTTTTTTCTCCCATGTTTGTTTTAGTCCAGAGTTTTCCCTGAGTTATTTTAATTGGTTGATTATTTATTGTTTTTTTGTTTGTTTGTTTTTGTGGGGAAGATTAGCGTTGGCACCTCCCAGCTCTCCAACTTGCTGACATAACCTCTAAAAGAGTTCTTGAATGTTTAAATCAGGATGATGGAGAACATGAGTTAGAACAAAAAGGCAGAGATTGGAAAAAACAGAAAAAATAATAAAATTAGAGGTTAGGTTTGGGAGAATCAAGATCAAATCTGAGAGGAGACTTATTGAACTAAATGGAAGAAGATGACTCATGGAAGCAGAGAGTACAAAGGGCTCAAGTGGCTCCAGAGGTCATTAGTTCCTTAGGTGTTTGTCTCCTATGGATCCCACTTCTGACAACATGCAATGTCAACCTTAAAAATAAAATAACAAGTTCTTTAATAACAAAAGCAGTTTATTTGAGAATAGTAGAGAAATTGCAACTTGGAACAAGAAAAATATGGAAAACCATAGGTAAGTCCAAAGGACAAAGTAGTGGGGCTTGCTTTTATACAGGAAAAGACAAATTTGGGAGGGGTTGTTTTGAATGAAAGTTTATTGGAGGAGAGCAAGAGTTCAGTGCTGTGGTGACTTCTCATTGATTAAGTTGTGGCAGTTTCTCATTGGCTGAGGTTTTGCTGGATATGGAAAAAATATTCTTTCTTCCCGTTGGGGTATGTAAAATAAGCTGTGATGAGTGATACATGCATAAGAACTGTCCCTTCATTGCTTCCTGGCTCAATTTTTAATTAGGTTTTCTTTATTTTCACAAAATCAACTGTGATGATTAATTTTCTTTGTCAACTTTACTGCATCACAGGATTTCCTGATTAAGCATTATTCCTGACTGTGTTCATGAGGTTTTATTCTGGAGGAGATTTTTATTTAAATCATTGGAATGAGTAAAGCATGTTGCCTTCCCTCATGTGGGTGTACATAATCAAATTATTCAGTGCCTAAATAGAACTAAAAGACAGGAAGAAAGAATTTTCTCTCTGTCTGAATGTTTATCTAGGACATTTATCTTCTCTTGCACTTGAATTAGCTCTTCCACCATCAGCTTTCTTAGGCCTCCATCTTGCAGCCAACTTGATGAAGATTTAGGCTGGTTAATTTTAAAACTGCAGAAGAGAAGGGGGCTCTGAGGAGTGGGATTTGCTTGCCCTTTGATGAGAGACATTTGCATTTGTGAAGGAAGTCTCCATCTGTGGGGGGTGTCTCCCACTGCACCAGGAGGAAGGCGGGATGGCCTTATCTCTGGAAACTCTTAATTGGGAAGACAAGGACTTAAGTTGTTTACTGTCTGGCAACCTCACCCTGCCCCCCCCCCCCAACACCCTAGTTTGTCTTTAGCTGAAGATAATATTTAAGCGGTGGCTTCTGCCACTTACTTAATCTGGTTTGATGCTTATCTAAAAGTTATAGGACCGCCCAATAACCAGACTCTACTGACACTCGTACCATTTTAACAACTCTTTTTACATATTCTTTCCTTTGTCTTGTAAAGAGATAACTCACATACCTATGCCTTAAATTTAGCCTTACTCTCCACCCATGTTTGCAGCAGCAGCTCCTCCTGCCCGTGGGTCCTGTCCCCACACAGCAGCTCTGACTGCCCATGGGTCCTGTCCCCATGCTATTCCATACTATTCTCTAAATAAAAGAGCACTACTGCCAGATCTTAAGAGTCTAAGAAATCCTTCTTTTGACTCCTCGGCTCACTGACCCCGCATCACTAGCACTCCGTGGCGAGAACCCCTGCCTCCTGTCCCCACGAGCCAGCAGGAGGGTCAGCCATGACAAATAAAAATGGCAAGCAATAGAATATATTGGAGTATATGAGGAAGCCATTTGGCATAAACCTAATTCGGCCTGACTTTGTTTTTTCCAAAAGAGCCTGACTGTGGCCGTTGCGCATGCATTGTATATACATTTCCATAGCAAGAACAAAGGCCCTTGAGATAAAGGTGCAACTTCCCTCCCCCTCCCAACATCAGCATTTCCTTAAAGATTAAGCATCTTTCCTTAGGGTAGGAACTGATTGCAGCGCTCAGCTGTGACCACCCAGCTTTGAGACAGCAGACTGCCACCCTGCTGTGTTCACTGAGACAGCAGACCTACCTGCTATTTCCATCAATTGCTGTGCCGACAGAGCAGTCTCATGACTATTGTAAAATGGTGACAAATAAAAATGGCAAGTAATAGGATATATTGGAGTATATGAGGAAGCCATTTTGTGTAAACCTAATTCAGCCTGACCTTGTCTTTCCAAAAGGGCCTGACCGAGGCCATTGAGCGTGCATTGTATATCTGCTTTAGAGATTCCCTACGGCAAGAGCAAAAGGCCCTTGAGATAAAGGTGCAACTTCTCTCCCTCTCCCAACGTTGGCATCTCCTTAAAGATTAAGCATCTTTCTTTAGGCTGGGAACCGATTGCAGCGCTCATCTGTGACCGCCCAGCCCGAGGCAACACACCTGCCACCCCGCGGCATTCATTAAGACAGCAGACCTATCTACCCTTTCCATCAATTGCTGTGCTGACAGAGCAGCCTCATGACTATTGTAAAAGGGACCATTTTAATCACATGTGAAACATACTCTTTGAGGATATATAACCACCCTGTGTACCCCCACTTCTTTGGAGTGCTCTGTTGCTTCGTGGAAAGACTCTCCCGGGTTATAATCCTAAAATTTAAGCTCAGAATAAACTCACCCAAATTTTCATTTATAGATTGGTTATGGATTATCTTCGTCGACAATGGACATTTCAATCCTATGTGAAACATCCTCTCTCGGGGTATATAACCACTGTGCACCCCACTTCTTCGGTGCCCTTTCTTCCTTCGGGAAGAAAGGCCCCGGGCCATGGTCCTCAGATTTCAGCTCAGAATAAACTCACCCAAATTTTCATTTATAGATTGGTTACAGATTATTTTCGTTGACAGCCGTCTGAATTTTCTTTTATAGATTTTTGTGACTTATAGAAAGTATAATTGTGGATTCCAGGGAATGTATCCTCAAGGTTGGGATGAGGCTTTGGGCCAGGTTTACTTCTCCACGCCCACGAGGCCGAGGGTGGGGGACGCAGGCCCTGCCCTGCCGATCGCCCGGGCAGCAGCATCCGGCCCGGCAGGAGAGGCCCGCGGGACAGGAGGTCTGGACCGCCGCCGCGTAAGCGGAAGACAAGACTGAGGCTGGAAGGTGACGAAGCTGGCTGGAGGTCACGCCGCTTGTACTGACGACCTCGGGGCTCAAAGACTCAAGTGCTTCCCGGTGGAGCGAGAGGCCAGGACGTGGCGGCTCCAGGCCGCCCCCGCGACGCATGCGCAATACGAGCCCAGCGCTGCCCGGTCCGAGACGCGAGTTGGGCCTGGGGCGCAGGCCGGAGCTGACTCTGTGAAGCTACGTCAAAATCTTGCGACTTGGAGGCTGTGGAGTTACTCCCCGGAGGTCTCGTGAGCGTGAGGGGCAGAGTAAGGGGCGGGGACAATGCAGGACCCTCCTGGGAGCCTCAGAAGGACCGAGCGAGCGTAGCTCCCGACGACGCAAAAGGCAGGCCGGGCCGTGTTCAGAACTGTCGTAAAAGGGGGCGTGGCAGGCGCGCTTGGGATGACGTAAGGGGCGGGGCGCACCGCGCTCAGGACTGAGGAGGGGCGTGCGTGTTGCTGCCGGCAGCGGCTGGCGGGGCTCGGGCGCCATGGAGCGCTACGCGGGCGCCCTGGAGGAGGCGGTGGACGGGGCCCGGCAGCAGGAGCGGCACTACCAGTTGCTGTCGGCGCTGCAGAGCCTGGTCAAGGAGCTGCCCAGGTGCGCGGCCGCGGGGCGGGCGGGCGGGCGGGCGGCCGAGGCGGCCTGGTCCCGCCCGCGCTCACCGCGCGCCTTGCCGCAGCTCCTTCCAGCAGCGCCTGTCCTACACCACGCTCAGCGACCTGGCCCTGGCGCTCCTCGACGGCACGGTGTTCGAGATCGTGCAGGGACTGCTGGAGATCCAGCACCTCACCGAGAAGAGCCTGTACAACCAGCGCCTGCGGCTGCAGAACGAGCACCGAGGTGCGCGGGGCGGCGGGGCGGCGGGGCGGCGCGCGCTCCTCCTCCGGGAGCTCGGCCTGCCCAGGGAGCTCTCCGTCTCTGTGCAAGCTGAGCCCTTCCCTGGGGGTCGCTCGGAAGAAGTCCCTAAAATTGGCCAGATCAAGGGCGCAGAGCCTTTGCCAGCGCTTTTTTGGTGACAGATGAGTCAAGCCAATTTTGTCAGTTGCACGGTCCCCTTTGAGCATAACATCCAGAAGCTCCTTGCTTGGGTTTCCCCGTGCCCCTACTCTCTTCCCAGCAGGACGGCCCAAGGCCTCGGTGCTTGGTCGGCCCACGGGCAGATCCTCGTGGCGGCCGTCCGCGTAGTGGTTGTCAGCCCCCAGTGATGCCCCTCAGTGTTGACAGCTCTGCAGCTCCGTTTACGGTCAGTGCCCTCCAGCGGCGCAGAGCCGCACACCACCTGTGCGTCGAATTCCCACGCACTGTGCCCTCCGGTACCTGAAAACTTCCCCCCTGGAGCCACACGCTTGGCCACAGCCTCATGAGCCTTGGCCCCTCCCAGACGTTCCACTCTGGGGCTCCGGAGCTCCCTCTTGCAGGGTATGCTGAGCAGCTTTCCCTGCCACATCAGGTTTCCCAGCTTTGTTATTTTTCCCCAACTTCTTATTTATAAAAAAAAGTTCGAACACTTAGAAAAGTTGGAAGAATAGTATAATGAATACCCGTATGCTCTCCAGCTAGATCCGATAATTAACATTTTGTCAACCCCTAAATATGTGCAACACCAAAGGGTTTCACCTGGAGTCTTCAGCATTCCTCTAGACCAGGATTTTCAACCGCAGCACTGTTGACATTGGTGGCTAGACCAGTCTTGATGGTGAGGTAGCATCCTGTGAATTGCAGTACGTTTAGCAACATCCCTGGTTTCTACCCATTAGATGACAGAGGCACCCTCCCCCAGTCGTGACAACCAAAAATGTCTGCAGACATCCTTGGGGGCCAGCCTTGGCACAGGATTGAGAACCAGCTCTTGACAACAAGAACACTGTCTTACATAACCACAGTGGACAACTTCCTGAGGGATTAATTATTCCAGGAATCTTCTGACATTCAGTCCACAGTGGAATTACTTCACGTGTCTCAAATTGTCTTCACTTTATAAGGGTCCAGTGTACATTACAGTTATGCATTGCATTTGGTTACTTTGGCCTCTCTATTTCTGGAAAAGTCCCCATCATTTATTGTGGCGTTGACTTTTTCAGAAGTTCAGGGCATTCTACCTGTAGGAAGTCCCCACTCTGAATTGGTCGCATTGCTTCCTCATGCTGTCATTTAACCTGTTTCTCTACCCTCGGTGTTTCCTGTAAACTGAACAGCACATAGAGGCCTAATAATACGCAGGTGAAACGTTTGTGGCAAAAATTCCTCCTAGTGATGCCAAGTCCCTTCCCTAAGGGGGCTGGCGATGTGCGTTTGCCCCAGGATTAGTGCTTCTACCAGAAACGGATGTTGTGTTTTGTCAAATCTTTTCTCTGCACCTATTGAGATGATCACGTGGATTTTTGGTTACTATGGTGAATTGCACTGACTTTTTTAATTCCTGGGATAAACTGTATTCCTGGGAGGCATCTTCCTTGGTCATGATATATTATCCTTTTTCTCTATGTTGGACTGAATTTGTATAATCTTGTTAAGAATTTTTGCATCTGTGTTCAACATGGACATTGGTCTGAAATTTTCCTGTAATATCTTTGTCTGGTTTGGGTATTAGGGTAATGCTCGCTTCATGGGGTGAGTTGGGAAGTGTTCTCTTCAGTTTTTCAGAAGAGTTTGTGTAGAATTGGTATTACTTCCACCCTGAGTGTTTGGGTGGTGTCTTTGTAAACATTTTTATTGAGCTATCGGCTGCATACAAAGTACACAGCTCATTGGTTTTTTCTTTTAAAGATTGTATTTTTTTTTCCTTTTTCTCCCCAAAGCCCCCCAGTACATAGTTGTATATTCTTCGTTGTGGGTCCTTCTAGTTGTGGCATGTGGGACGCTGCCTCAGCGAGGTTTGATGAGCGGTGCCATGTCCGCGCCCAGGATTCGAACCAACGAAACACTGGGCCTCCTGCAGCGGAGCGCGCGAACTTAACCACTCGGCCACGGGGCCAGCCCCCCCAGCTCATTGTTTTTAATGCTCAATTGTTCCACATCGGCTGTTGGGAGAACTTCAGGCTGGCTCCTGTGCCCTTTTCATGTGTCCCCATCGTTCTTTGAGCACTTCCTGGCTTTCTGATACAGGAGGGTGTTCAGGCTCATCTTTTCTTGTTCTTTCTCTGCTTCAGCCCCTCTCCTGTCAGCCCCCCGCCTCCAGCTTCCCCACGCCAACAACCTCTTGTTGGGCCAGACCTTCTCTTTTTGCCACCATAAAGCTCTCCCACTCCTGCCTTTGACTGAGGCTCTGCCGAATGCAGGTGGCAGGTTCAGGCAGATTTTGGTGCTGCCAGCCATGGGTGAGCAGCCTGTGACTTTCTGCTTTTCCTTCCCTCTGACTTAGCAGGTGGTGCCTCGCAGCAGCCGTTGCTTTCCTCCCTCCTCACTGAGCCAGGCCCCTCCCACCTGAGCAGCGGGTGCAGGCCTCTGCTCCCCTCTGGTTGCTCGCCCAGTGGCATCTGAGAGTTGACCTGGGAATTGTAGCAACAGCTGATAGAGGAGTGGAGGGGATTCGTTTCCCTGCACTGAGCTGTCTTCTTGAATCGGCGCCACGTGGTGTAAACATTCACTAGGGAGCCTCTTCCTTGTCCCTGTGTTTATGGAAATGTCTTGAGGGTGGCTCTTGGTTTCAGACTCATTTAATGTGATAAATGCCATAGCCGAGATGCTTACAAAATACCAGGGAACAGGAGATTGGGCAAGGCTGTGAGCGCAGCAGTGCCAGACTCCTGGCAGGGGACCTCAGGGCCTCCCTGAGAACGGCTGTGATGTGAGGTGTCTGCCTCGGATGAGTATTGGGTCCGTGTTCCCTTACGGCTGGGGACCCCTCCATATGGTGATCTTGCCACTTGCTGGTCTAGGATTTGGCTGCGTAGTGAGTATTCTGTTTTGTGATTGGTTTCCTTCCATCCCATAATACCTCTCTCCTTTGTCCAGTCCTATCAGTCTGGACAATTTTGCACATGCTTGTATCCATGGTACAATTTAGTAGGGACCATGGGAGCTTTGCTCAGTGGCCATGGTGAGCCCCTCTCAGAGCACCAACAGACTCCCCAGCATAGGGCTTCTGCTGGCTCATCACTTCCTTGGCCTCCCAAGGTCTGTGCCCACCCTCCTCCCTCTGGGAGCTGTGTATGGGGCAGGGCGGCTCTGCCTACCCTGAGGGCCAGCACTGAGCAGGGAGCGACACTACCCCCACTGCTGGGCAGAGGCCACACCACGCTCAGGCACAGCGACCCCTCACCACTGCCTCCTTTTCCAGGCCTTTGCCTTTTGGTCTTCTGGACAGCACTGGATATCCTATGGATGCTGGGCAGGTTATACCCAGGATTGCTGGCCTGTGGCCATCTGAGCCCAGAAGCCTCCAGACCACAATTTCCCACCCCTATGCCAGCCTGCCCTGCCTCACCTCCTCTAGTGCCCTGTGCCTTCCAGAGTCCCCTGGAGCCTTGATGCTGGGAAGGGCCCTGCCCTGTGTGCAGGCAGGAATGAGTGGGCTGGGGGGCTAGGTGTCCCCCAGAGCTTCACCCAGCTTCCAGTGCGGGGCTTTAGGCAAGCTGGATCATCAAATGGGGCCTCACGTCTACACCTTTGGCCTAGCTGCCCTTTGATGGGACAGCTGGGGCAGGTGCTCAGGTGGGAGGTGTTCCTGGCCCCTCCCCGTCGTTCTCGGCCCCTCCCCGTCATTCTCAGCCCCTCCTAGTGCTCTCTCTCTGTTCTCGTCCCCTCCTAGTGCTGAGGCAGGCGCTGCGGCAGAAGCACCAGGAAGCCCAGCAGGCCTGCCGGCCCCACAACTTGCCTGTGCTCCAGGCAGCTCAGCAGCGTGAACTAGAGGTAGGAGCGTGGGCAGGGTGGGTACCACCTGGGCTCTGCTGCCTGGGCCGTGATGGAGGGGCTCAAGTGGCTTGGGAGCTGCTGGCTGCCCTGGGCCTCATCCTGGGGTGGGCCACTGGAGGCCTGGTGCATCCCTGCAGGTTCTCTTCACCGTGGGAGGTTGGAGGGCGCGGGACAGAGGAGAGTGTGTGTGATCCCCTCGCTCCCCTCCACCTGCTCCTCAGGACTGCATTTCCTCGTGGGCTGGGCCTGCGCAGGGCAGTGCTCAGTGGGCGCTGTTGTGCCCCGTGGCCTCGGAGGAAGTGGTAGGCCAGGAAGGTGTGTTTGAGGCTTTGATGGGCAAGGGGCTGAGCCACCCTCACCGCGGCAGGCAGTGGAGCACCGAATTCGCGAGGAGCAACGGGCGATGGACCAGAAGATCGTCCTGGAGCTGGACCGGAAAGTGGCGGACCAGCAGAGCACACTGGAGAAGGCGGGGGTCACCGGCTTCTATGTGACCACCAACCCACAGGTCAGTGCCCCAGGCCTGCCCTGGCACAGCCTGGGAGAGCTGGTCTCCAAAAGCCCAACCCATCTGGCTGGTCTCCGGGGAGCCAGGCCTTGGCAGGGGCTGTGGCGTGGTGTGTTAGGCTCCAGGAAGGGCCTCGGTGCTGTGTTCAACACAGAGGCCAGTCTCACTGCCTCTGCCCACAGGAGGGTGAACTGCTGCTGGCAGGGGCATTGCCCACCTTCCCCAGACCTGCTGCGCCCTGCAGGGCCCTCATCTGCTCCCGCTGCGTACACCTCTGTGCGCACTGAGCCCGGCGACTGCAGGCCCTGCTACGGGGTAGCATCCCAGCTTCTGCCCCATTCTGGCAGGCCGTGGCCAGGCTTCACAGCAAGTCAGCCTCATGGGCTCACTGTCTCATACCCTCTAGGCCCTGATATCGGCCTCTGGCCCTTGGGAAAAGGAGGCTTCTGCCTGTAGCCTTTGCCAGGGCAAAAGGGGACCAGTTGTACCTCTGGCCTCTCAGCGGCCCCTCTGCATCCCAGGAGCTGACGCTGCAGATGAACCTGTTGGAACTCATCCGGAAGCTGCAGCAGAGGGGCTGCCAGGCAGGGGGTGCAGCCCTGTGACCAGGTGGGGTCCCTGCAAATTACCCACTGCCCATCATGGCTGGGAAGACTGCCCTGTCCCGCTGTCACCACAGCCAATAGCAAGCTGAGTGGAGCTCATCTTCCTGACATCTGACCACCACCGCCCCAGCTGCCTGCAGGACGGCTCGCCCTCTGAGGAGAGGCCAGGTGGACCCTGGCTGCACCTGCCACCCATCTTCGTCTGGGTTTGTTTTGTCCAAAGCTAGCATGGTGTGTGTGGTAAAGGGCAGAGGGGGCCCAGCCTGCCAGTTGTCTCCCCAGAGCTGGCTGAAGAGTGGGGCTGGAGGTCCTAGCACCTCACTGCACCAGGCACATCCCGCCCTCTGCCACGGCCAGGCTTCGTGCTTGTTCTGGTCTCACCCCCTTACCCCCTGACAGATGCAGCCTCCAAGTGGGAGAGGCTCCAAGGCCGAAGGCCTGTATGACCCAGAGAATAAAGACGCCTCAGGATGGCCTGCATGTGGCCCGTGTGAGAGCTCTGTGGTGCCTGCTGCGACCAGGGCCCAACTAGGGCCCTTGCCTGGCAGCTCTGTGGCCTGCAGAGGATGCTCCCAACCCCCATGTCACAGAGGCCCCTCCCTGGGGCACCCCCCCCCCCCACCGAGGGCTGCCCCATGCAGCTGCAGGCCCAGCCTTACCACCTTTTCCCCTGGGGCAAGCCTCAGGGTACTAGGACCATATCCAGTCAGCTCTGTGGGGCTGGAGGGCATCGAGGGCAGCCTGGGGGTGGGGGCAGCCGTGGGCCTGCTCCTGTCAGAGCAGCAGGGGCCTGGGGTGGCTCAGTGGAGTGGCTGGGGTGAAGGTATCAAGCAGCAGGAAGGGTCTGAGGGAGGGAGAAACCCAGCGTGGTGAGGCATCCAGCCCACCCTGGGAGCCAGCTGTCTGCGTTGGTCTGAGCACAGGGGTCCTGCTCTCGTCTGGGGGGGCGCGGGGGTGGCCAGCACCCTGCATGGCCAGGTCTGCCATACAGCCTGAAGGGAGGTCTTGGTGGGTCCACCCTGCCCACAGTGGGCCTGGCTCCAGGGGCACATGACGCAGGAGAGGCAGAGCCTGAGGGGAGCTTCTCAGGCTGTCAGAGCTGTCTGTCTGCTGCCAACCCCCCATGAGGGAGAGTGCTGCAGGCGGCGAGTTGACGCCTCTTAGCTGCAGACAGTTTTATTTTTTTAAAGATTGGCACTTGAGCTAACATCTGTTGCCAATCCCTTTTTTCCTTTCTTTCTTCTCCCCAAAGCCCCCCAGTACATAGTTGTATATTCTAATTGTGAGTGCCCCTGGCTTTGCTATGTGGGACACCGCCTCGGCATGGCCTTACAAGCAGTGTCGTGTCTGCGCCCAGGATCTGAACCCGTGAAACCCTGGGCTGATGAAGTGGAGCGTGCAAACTCAACCACTCAGCCATGGGGCCGGCCCCCAGAAAGTGTTTTATTGACCAGGCCGACTACCCAGCCTGGCCACTGCCCACCTGTGGGGCTCAGGGTATGTGGGTTGGATCCTAGCGGAAGGTGGTCCTTCCAGTCCAGGGGCGTGGTGGCGGGCAGAGATGGGCCATGCTCACTCGGTAAGGCAGTTCCTGACAGTTCCCAGCAGCCCTGGCAGGTGTTAGACTTGACTCACACCTGAGTGCCCACATCCTGGGCAGGGTCCAGGAGGCACTGAGGCCCCACTTCCAGCAGGTCGCACAGTCTTGGGTGTAAAAAGGTAAATCCGTGTGAGGTTGGGGTTGGCTGTAGCTGCAGTGTAAGCCTGAGGGCCCTGGGACGCCACATCCTGGGGAGAGCTGGAGGCCGAGTCGCGCTGGGTGGTGGTGGCCCTCGAGTGCTAGGCCGGGCGGTGGAAGAGGCTGCCTGTGCGGAGCCTCCGCCAGAGCTCCTGCCACAACAGCTGCCGCTCCCGCAAGGCGCCCTTCACGACACCACTGTTCTCCAGGGCACGGCGGGACAGGTAGGGCAGCACCTCCATCACAGGGCCGTAGGGCACGTACTTGTACACGGGGAAGCCTGCCTGGCCTGCACAGGCAGAGGCAGTGAGTCCCGGCCCCGGAGGCCCCACCCCCGCCCCCAGGGGGGCCCAGCTCACCCAGTGGGAAGCTGATCTGGTCACACATGCCCAGCAGCTGTCCAAAGGACACCTGGCGATCAGCAGGGTGCAGGCCCAGCTCCTCCATCCTGTGAATGGGCAAGGCAGTGGGTGAGCCCTGTGCTACCTCTGTGCCCCTCCTGCACCCCTAGACCCCAGCCTCCGTCCCCTGCAGGTAAGGTGTAGGTATAGGCTCTGTCCTGCCCAGACCAGGCCTCTGCCCTGCTGCTTACACCTTGGCTATTGCCACCAAGTCCCCTCCTTCCCCAGCCAGCATGCCCCTCCTCTGTGCCCACTCCCCAGCCTTTCCCTCTTGCTGCCCTGACCCAGCAAGGCAGACCCACCCAGCGAGCGGCCTGCCCCATGGCATGGCCCGGGAGAGCTCTCGAGCCCCTCTCCCTCTGTGCCACATCCCCAGTCCACCACCCAGCCTCTTGTCCTCCCCTTGCTGGCTGTTCTGTCCCATGCAGCAGCCACCAGCAGCCATGGAGTCTGGAAGGCAGCTGGTCTAAGTGGCGATGTGCTGCAAGCGTCACACGCAAGTGGGATTCTCAAGACTTAGTATGAAAAGAGAATGCAGAATCTCTCATTGTTTTCCTGAAATACTGAACACGTTTAAATGGTAATATTTTGGATATGTTGGATTAATTGAAATGTATTATTGAAATTACCTTCATCTTTTTCTTTTAACGTAGCTATTGAAACATTTAGAATTAACACATGTGGTTCGCATTTCTATTAGTGCTTAGATGTTGGGGGAGGGGGGGCCCAAGTTCTGTCCAGCACCCTCTCCTGGGCTCACATCAACCTTCATAGGATCTTACAAAAATTCTCAGGGTTTGAAATACCTATGATGGATGTTTTTCATATTTTCCTCCCTGGCCTCCTATAGCCACATATCCAGACTGAGCCTGTCTGCACCAGCACTCAGCTCCTGTCCTTCCACCACCCCACTAGCAGCAAGTTCAACCTGGGTCCTCCTCACACCCACCCTGACTATACCCAGGCTCACCTCCCTTCTCACTGTCTCAGGGCCCCAGGCTCCCAGAGCACAAAGTACATCTCACCCTGGACTCCGCACGAGGGTCCTCCCCAAGGCCACTCGCCTCCTTCCCTCCGGGCTGGGCTCCAATGTTGGGGCCTGACATCTACCATGTCACCCCAATCCCTGTTCTATGCATCTAGTGGATCCCTGGTATCCACTAGAACATGAACCCCACGCATGCAGAGCTGCCACCGTGTTGCTCCTGATGTGGTGGGGACACTCAGGTGGCATTCTGCAAAGATGGCTGCAGACCCCTCCCCTACTGGTGTCCAGGCCCTGTGCCATGTGACTGCAGCTTTGCCCAGTGCAGATGAACGCTCTCCACCTCGTGTCTGGGCAGGGCCTCATAACTTCCTTTGGCCAAGGGTACAGTAGCAAGTGTGACATGGGCAGAGGCTTGCCCTCTCTAGGGTTTCTGGAAGCCTGAGACCACCATGTGGTGAAGGCTGGGCTGGCCTGTTGGACGCTAGACATGTGATGCAGTCTCCTTTGCTGTCCCAGCCACAAATGAGGCCATTTATAGCCAAGCAGGCCCCAGCTGACCACAGATGCAGGAGGGACCCCAGACAAGGCCCACAGAACACACTTGTTCAGGCCTCTGAGTCTTGGGTTGGTTTGTTACTCAGCCCAGGCTGACACAGGCTGTGACTGTGACCCCTGATGCTGCATGTCAGAGACCCACACTGCTTCCCCAGGGAAGGCAGGCCCCAGCTCCCAGGGCAAAAGCAGAGAACCGCAGCTGCAGGGGCCAAGCCCTGTCCATGATGGTGGTATTTGTGGAGGCTGCAAGGAAGGAGAGTGTGCTCGCCTGGCACTCAGGATGGGGGAAGCTGTGTCCAGGGCAGGAGGCCGTTGGTGCCAAGCAGGTGAGGACACTCATGTTCTCAGTGTGAAGGTTTAGAAATCAAGAAAGGAGAAAGGAAGCCCTTCTGAGGGCAGGTTCTATTTTTAGAAGTCTCCCTGTTCTGTCTAGTCTGTCTGAGTGGACTCGCCAGCGTTTGTTGTTGTTGTTAGTGCCCTCAAGTGGGGCAGCAGAGCGGGACCCTGCCTGGTCTTTCTGTGCCGTCCTCTCACCTTCCGGTGCTACATCAGACAACGCTCCGCCTCTATTCATAGGGTTTCATGCCAATCTTTTTGGAAGTGGGTGGCCAGGTCCTTCTTCCTGGTCTGTGTTAGTCTGAAAGCTCTGCTGAAACCTGTCTACGACCATGGGTGACCCTGCTGCTATTTGAAGTACCGATGACACATTACCGAATGGGTTTGGAATGACCAGAGTCAGCTCTCCAGGCAGCGCCCTGCAGGTGCCCAGCCTGGGCCGCATCCCCGCCCCGCCCGCACCTTCAATGCTCCTTCACGAGGCCCCACTCGGCCACAGGCCTTGAGCTTGAGGTGCCCGGCTGTGGGAGGGGGCCCTGCTTTGCTCTGGGAAAGGTCAGGGCCAGCAAGCTGCTGCCCGCAGGGCTTCCTATGGGACCTAAACATCAGGAAGGCAGAGACGGGTCGGGGGTCAGCTAGGACTCTGTAGATATAAGGACACAGTGATGACACTGGAGTACTTAAGAATTTACTTGATCTTATTCCTATATCTGACTTGTATGGATTCTACCAAAGTTTTAGTCCACAGGAGCAGAGAAACCAGACTATATTAAATGCCAAATGCAGTTTAAAGTGTCAGGAGAAACTGTTCATAAAATGAGGGGACACATCAAAGGCCTCCTGAAGGGCCCCAACATTTCACACTGTATTTGTACATTTCAGCAAGCTATTTAAATCACCTAATGAAATTTATTTTTTGAATTTGAGACTTTAACAAGTCGATATTAATTTTAAAAACCAAGGTAACTGCAAACAGCCTTTCTGCTACTACAGCGCCAACACCACTTGAGCACCTTCCACACACATTCCCCCAACATGCCCCTGCTTCCGGCAGGTCACTGCACAGCTTCGGGGCACTGGCCAGAGCCAGCCCTAAGCAGAGCCGACAGTGGGCGGCACCTACCTGCGCAGCGTGAAGCGCACCGTGTCCTCGTTGTGGGAGGCCACCATCACCTGAGCCGTGGAGTTGTGCTTCAGCTCCTCCAGGACATAGTCAAGGCACCTGGGGAGAGCGCCCCGTGAGCTGGCCCTGAGAGGCCCCCAGGGGGCAGGCCACAGGCAGCCCAGGGCCATCCAGCAGCCCACTCTCCCAAGGGTGCGCACGGCAACAGGACCAAGGGAGGAGCACCCGCCCGCAGCACCTCATGAGTAAGAAAGAAAAAGTGAGCAGCCCCTGGGACTCGCCATTCACAGCCAGCTGAGGCCCAGTGCCCTGTGTGCAACGGACACGGCTTCACCTCCGGGAAGGAGTCTGCAAGGAGGTTAAAGGCCTGGTAGCAAGGGGCCTCCCTGTGCCCAGGGGAGGGTGAACGGTGCCATGGTCTGGCAGTGAGGACAGCTGGGCAGGGTGCACGTTCTCTGACCCAGCAACTCCGTCTCCAGGAACCTGTGACCACTATGTCCTCGCCCATGGGTTCAACAGATAGGGACAGGGTTTGCCCTGAGTCACCACTGTAACCACGGACGGCAAACCACCAGAAAGCTCGCAGAGACTGGCATGGAAGCATGAGCAGCCCACTCTGGCACTGGGTTAGCACTGTGGGTCTGCACGCCGACTCGGGAGGCTTCAGATACGCAGTACGTGGAAAGGCAAGGGCAGAGGACTGAGTACATAAGGCCAGGAAGTGCCCAAACCGCGTAGCTCCTGGAAGGAAGCAGGGCGCAGCCAGGGAGGGAGCGGGAGCCAGCGAGGGGAGGCAGCGCACGCAGCCTCAGAGAGGAAAGGCTCAAGGTCAGCCTGTCTGTGCTGCAGGACAAGACCACCAAGATCAACGGATCTCTCCTGAGTCCTAAGTGTCCGCGGGAGCTGGCTCGGGCCACCTGAGCCAGTCTGTTCAGTAGACTTTTCCATGTTAAAAAAAAAAAAACCTTGGGGCCAGCCCAGTGGCTTAGTGGTTGCATTTGTGCACTCCACTTTCACGGCCTGAGGTTCACAGGTTCGGAGCCTGGGGGCAGACCTAGCAATGTTCGTCAAGCCAGGCTGGGCAGGCTGCAGCGATGTCCCACATAAACAACAGAGGAAGACTGGCACAGATCTTAGCTCAGCAAAAACAAAAGAGGAAGGTTGGCAACAGATGTTATTAGCTTAGGGCCAATCTTCCTCAGCAAAAAAACAACCAAGCCCTTAATGGTTTTGGAAAAAGTAAAACAAAAGCAGAGGAGACATCAGTTCTGGCCTCAGGGAAGAAGTCCTGCTCCTAGTGGAGGCTTCTGACCCTGAGGGCTGCTCGCCCTTCTGACAGGGCCACGTGGGGTCAGCCCTGGCACTGGGTGCTAAGCTGCCCTCGCCCTGTTTTCTCACTCCTCGCCCCTGGAAGCCCGGAGGCTCTGGGAGGGCTGGCGCACCTGTGGTACATGGCGCTGGTGGCCTCGTACGTGGGGTTGATGGGGTCCTCGTAGCCAATTTCCGCAGCGCGAGCACGCTCCTGGGCCATGTAGGCGCCCCGCACCAGCTTGGCCCCAAAACACCAGCCCTCACGGCGAGCCAGCTCCACATCCAGGGTGACGTTGTCATAGGCGTCCTGCAGGGCCGGGGCCAAAGTCAACAACCAGGACAAGCCCCCTCCAGCCTGTGTCCCCCGGGGCCTCTGTGAGGCCCACTGGTTGTGGTCAGAATGGGGCAGCAGTGCCTGAGGAAGGTGTCCCCTGTCCACCTGTGGGGTGCTCACGGGATCTGGGAGACAGTGTGGGTGAGGAAGGCCCTTGAGCTCTTGTCTTCAAGGAATGGTGACAGTGAGGACACCTGCGCCCTGTCTGGCCTGGGAACAGCCCTGTGGGGACAGGCAGGTGCCAGCAGCCATGGCACACCCATCTCCTCGAGTCCACTCGAGGTGCTGCATACTGTGGCACCTACCTGGAACCCCTGCAGCCTGGACGCTGACCCACCCCGCCACCTCCAAATACCTGACTGGACTCGAGCAGCCCAGCCCAGGTCTGCACCCCTGGGCCCTGAGGTACATGCAAAATTCCGAGCAAGTCTATCTGGGGAGGGGCTGAGACTTCCACAGACCCTGAGAGGGAGCCGGGCTGAGAACGGGTGGGAGAAAATGGTCAACGTGGGGATTAAGGCATGTTAAGTGGGCTCAAGAAAAACTCCTTTGCCTTCCTCCCACACCTTCCACACCCTGTCCAAGATCTGGGGCCCAGAGGAGGGGCCTGCACGTGGCGGACAAGGTTCTGGGGCCTTTCTTCTGCTAGAGGCGATCATGCTTGGGCTGGGGCCTCCCCCCAACACCGGGGCCAGGTGAGGGGCATCCTGTCACCTGCAGGCGGGTGGGAGGCGGGGGGCCGCACCTTGAGGTAGCACTGGTAGGTGCCAAAGATGAGCGGCTTCTCCACATTGAACCTGCGCTGCATTTCCAGCGTCAGGCGGCTGATGGCCGGCTGGAAGTAGGTCTGCTCGGCGTCCACCATCAGTCGCACGCCCGCCTCGCTGGCTTTCTGAGAGTGCAGGGGGTGCAGAGAGGGTTTGTCTGGGCTCAGGTGAGACAGCACCCCCTCCCCACCCCGGCACGCCCCCGGGTTCCTCAACCTTGGCCAGGACGTCCATCCGCTGCAGCATCCTCGTCACCTGCAGCTCCTCCTCCTGGGTGAACCGCGACAGCAGAGGCTCCAGCTGTCCCGTCTGGGGACAGCACTCAGTCAGGCCACAGCAGAGCATGCCCTTGCCCATGGGCACCCTCCCTCCCCATGTGCAGGGCCCACCAATAGCTGGTGCCTGGTCCCCAGGACCAGCGAGGCCACCTCGCCCCCACCTCCCCTGTCCTGTCCCTGTTGTCATATGAAGATCAGCACCCTACCCTGAGGAGGGCCTGCCACATGGTACCCTGGAAGCCCACTGCCTGTCAGGGCATTCCTGTCACAGGGCCCGCTGCCCAGGTCAGGCCTGTGTGCCCAGGGTGTGTGTTCCAACGGCCTCCCCAGGGTCCTCAAAGCAGGGTGGCACCCTTCTGCTCCCACACAATGCTAAGGAAGTGACCCTCGACCCATCCGATCGCTGGGAAAGGCTCCACCCCTAGAAGGGAGAGGGCTCAGAGGAGGAACCACAGCCACAGGCAGCCGAGGACCGCCATGCAGCACCGACCACCGCGTAGCAAGAGGTGGAGTCGCCCTCCCCAGATGGTGGCCTCAGGAGCCGGGGGTCTGCAGGGGGCTGGGCCTGTGCAGCACTGAGGCCCTCTGCTCAGCCCAGGGCATGTCCCTCCATCAGCCTCAGTGTCGGTGTCAGGGCTGGCCCTCAGTCGGCCAGGGTGGAAGTTTGTGGAAGGCAGTGTTTGGGGGATATTTCCCCAAGGCCCTTCTGCTGCTGCTTCACCTCCCAGCTTAGGGGGCGGCTTCAAACTCGGCAGCCCACTCCGAGACGCCCTCCCACGAGCAGGCGGAGTCTCAATCCACTCCCCCTGCACACAGGCCGGCCTAGCGCCTCGCTTTTAACAAACAGAATTGAGCAGAAGTGACGCCCGGGGACTCAGGCTAGGCTAGCAAAGGTGACGGAGCTTCTGCGTGGCTCGTGGGGACACTTGCACTGGGAACCCAGCCACCACTCCATGAGGAAGCCCTGGCTGACAGCCAGCATCAACGGCTGGCCCAGTGTGTTGGGACCCCCACAACAACCCAGGCCTGCCAGCCTCGGTACAACTGCACGGGAGACCCTGAGCGAGAACCGCCCAGCCAAGCCCTGTCAGCCCAACTGTGAAGAGGAGCATAAGATGACCGGTGTCCTTTCAGGCCACTGAGGCTTGTGGTAACCCAATTCACAAGGACAGATGACAAGGAAGGCCCCTAGACACCCCTCTCCTTGTGGGTGCCCATCCCCCTCTGTGGGGCACTAAGTGGGTCTGTCTTCCTCCCCCAGACCACAGGGATCTCCTGGGGCCAGGGAGGATGGGGTCTTGGGCCCGCTGTGCCCGCAGCTGCTGGGCCAGCATAGGTGACAGAGAGCATTTCCCTCCTCCACCCAGCACCTTGAGACAGGGCTCAGTGGCAAGGGGGGCAGTCACCTGCATGTTAGGGACCACCAGGTGCTTGGAGAGCTCGGTCCTGCTGTCGATGAGGCTGCCCCAGTGCAGCAGGTCCAGGGTGCTGCGGGAGAAGGCGAGTCAGCACAGCGGCAGCGGCAGCTTCCCCATTCAGCCACGCAGCTTGACCCACAGGCACTAGGGTCTGTTGGGGGCCCAGGTCCCAAATGAGCCCAGTCCCTACAACAGCATCCCCAAACCCAATCCCAAAAACCCGCCTACGAGTTCAGTTTTAAGATAGATAAAATGTAAATGTTGTCCTCTGTTTAAAAATGGAAACCAAATCGCGAACTTTCTTGCACTGGGGCAGCGGCAGCTATAAAAACCCAGGGCGCACACCAAGACCACCCCGGGCCACGTCGGGCTTGGGGGGGAGCCGAACACGGAAGACAGGCAGGAGGCAGACGCAGCGTGCAAGGGGACGGCACACTGCTGCCAGCGGGGCCTGGTGACCTCGGCGCCAGCCGTCAGCATGAGGTGGAGGGCTCTCCAAGGTCTCAGCGGCCCCAACCCTTCACCTGCCTGCCATGCAGATCCCAGGAAGGGCTTGGTGTGCACCCTCACTCCAGCACCCCAAGAACTCTGTCAGAAGCCCTGCCACTGGAGGGGTACAGAGTCGGGGCTGGCCCTGCACCCACACTGCCGCCCAGCCCCCTGTCAACCCCTTCTCTGCATGTCTCAGAGGAGCAGGTCCTTCAGCACTGTCACCCTGAGGCCCACACACCTAGGAGGGCGGCCAGGAGTGGGAGGAGCACCGGGGGTACTCTTACCCGGATACGCCCAGGGTCTCCGCAGTGAACCAGTTCTCAATCTCCGTCCTGGACGCGATGCCCATCTTCGCCACACTTTCCTGGAGAGGTGAGAAGGTGTCAGTCCTGCAATGTCCCCAGCCCCATTCACTAACATTTCCAGCCACCCCCGCCCGTTGGTTTGAGAAGCTATTTTGACTTTATTATATTGTTCGTGAGAACACAACAGTTCTGGCTTGTGTCTGCTCCACAGACAGGTCTGTGCCCGCGAGTCCCTGATGCCCCTTCTCACCCCTGCACTTCCGCAGCGCTCCGCCACCCGCAGGGCCAGCCCCATCCAACCCTCCTGCCGGCGCATCCGCAGTCTCTATTCAGATTCCTTCCCAGCACCTGTGAACAGGCCGCAGTCCCTGGAGCAGCTCTGGGAACCTACCTCAGACACTGCCTGGCTGGTTCCTCCCAGGCAAGGCTCCTCCCAAGACCCCACAGTACCCCAGGGAAGGGCTGTCCCACCTGCAGTGCGGCCACCTCCAGCCTTGTGTCCATGGCAGCCAGCCCAGCCTTCCCTTGCTCTGCAGCCATTTGGTGAAAGAACCGTCTCCACTTCGTGAGCACATCCGAGAACTGCAGCTGTACATGCAGGCCTGAGTGACCACCTGGGCCACACACCCCGCTCCCTGCCCCAGGACCCCCGCAAGGCCCCTGGGCCCCTCCCTGGCCCGCCCGTGTCCCTGCCTCCTAGCCCCACGGTACAAGCAGAGGAGCTTTCCTTTAATGCTCACGGCAGCCCCAAGTTCTCGCAAACTCTCTTCAGGCGGAAGGTTCTGCCACTTACCAGAAACTGGGGTCTCCCCAGTGCAGTGAGCTTGATGGCTGAGAAGCCGTCCTCGCCGGCTCTGCCTGTCAGAAGCCACAAGAGGAGCCCTTAGGTCCCCAGAGTAGGAGGCCAGGAGCCTGCGCCCAGAGTCGGTGCCACTCAAGAGTTAGGATGCATCTCGTCGGACATGTGACAGTCTGCAGGGGGCTGGTGCTCATCCTTCTTCCCATGAGTTCCCTACAACCCCCAGGGCACCGGGTCTACCCCGAAGATGGGCCTGAGACCGTGGGAAGCGCTGAACAATCCAGTCACCAAAACTGCCGAGGGTACAGCGGCCCCAGCAGACCCCTCCTCCCTTCCCCACCCGCCTGAGCAGGGGCCGCAGGGATGGCCACGGCAGCTGCCTGGGCCCTGGCTCGTGTGCCTGGCCCTCCCTGAAAACAGGTCTGGTGACTGCTCGGCAGTCTCAGGCTGAGGCAGGTGGCCCCCCCTCCGGCCCCTGCCAGCCTCCAGCCCTGAATGGGAGAGGCGAGCTCACCGAGGACCCTGACGCCCTGGGCCGCTAACCATCTGCGGGCAGAAGGACCATCCTACCCAGCCCGTAAACGCCCGTGTGCACGGCTGCTCCTGATGCCCCACCACAGAGGGTTCAAGTTTGCCATGTGGGTCCAGGAAGGCGCAGCAGAGCACGGGCTGCAGCACAAAAGCCACTGCACCACCACATTTGTCTCTCCTCCGGCTCCCGGAGCCCACGATGCACATCTCGGCTTCTGCCAGGCCCTCCCCATCGATGTGCCCTCCGTCAGAGCAGGCAGGGAGGCAAGGAGGCAGCCCTTGCACTGGACACTGCCCGGGTCCCCACACACTGCTCTTGGAGGCTGCTTCTAAGCACCACTCACTCCCATTCCTGAAAGTGTCAAGTAGGTGCGAGACCAGCTCATGGGAAGGCTGCTGGGGATGCACAGGGGCTGCGCTGTGAGCTGACGGTTTCTAAGGCCCAAAGGATGAGGCAGCCTCAGCAACCTCCCAGCTGAACTCACCTCCCTCAGCCAACGCTCCCGCCCAGAGGCTGTGCGGGGAGGGTCTCTCCACTAAAGAGGATGTGGCACCGGCTCCCAGAACAGCACAGCTCTCGGTGGCAACCACATTTAACAAGAGCAGAGCCCCCACCTGGGACTCGGGGGCCCCCACAGCCTTCCTGAAGGTCCACACCCAGGTGCCTGGTACCTGGGAGCGGGGAGAGGAGCGCCTTCCTGGAGGCTCTTGACAGTCACCATAGGTCATCCCCACAACCATCCGGTCTACCCAGAAAGGAGGTCCCGAGAGTGCGCTCCGGCCTCTTGTCACCCACCAGCTCTCCGCAAGCCAGGGCTCAGCCTAGGCCCAGCAGCAGGGCAGCCGGCAAAGAGCAGGCCCCACCTGAAGCCTCGATGCAGCGCAGGAAGGTCTCCATGTGGCTGTCACACTTGGCTTCACTGGCATAGAAGTAGGTGCGGGCACTGATGACGCCGTCCCTGCGGTCCCCAAATGCCCGGTGGGCCTGGTACTGCTTCTCCCTCTTGCTGGCGCCTGGAGAGGTGGGCACGTGGCCTGAGCACCCAGGCCCTGTGCTGGGCTTCGGCCTCCAGCCCCTCTGCGGGCACACGCAGGGCTTCCCCGTGTCCCACAGGCCCTGTGGACGCCCCACACCCCAGCACTGTGCTGCCCACTGCTCCCCACCCCGCACTCACTGCTCCTCCTCCCTGGCTGAGGCCTAGTCACGGGGCAAACCCAGAAAGGCAGAGCCCAGACCACCGAGGGCCACAGGGACATGTCAGCACACATGGAGCGGTGGGCTGGGTGCCCACAGACCAGGGAGGCGCCGCGCATGGCCCCTTGCCCTGAGGCTTGCCTGAGTCCCTGCACCCAGGTGCCTGGCGCACGAGCAGGGGATGCATGTAGGGGGAGAGCGCCTGCTGGGAACGGCCGCCTCTGACTCACCGCTGCCCTCCTTCTCTGCAGCCGAGGTGCAGGACCTACAGGACGGAAGAAGAGGGCAGGTCAGGCCAGGCCACCACGGGCACAAATGACACGTGTGTTCCCATGGAGGAGGCAGAGGGGAGAGAAGTGGGAGGCTAGGCCCAGCGCCTGGCCTGACAGAGGCTGTGTGTGATGGAGGGAGGGTGGTGAGCAGCGGGGGTGTGCATCCCTTCCCCGCCCCTCCCCATTACCCCTGAGCTGGCAGAGTGGCAGCTGCACGCTGACCCGCCCCAACGGGCCTACAAGCCCTGTGCCTGGAGAAGTCTCAGGTGCCTGAGTGGTGGACCCTCCCTGCGATACTCAGGGGAAGGAGATGGCTCCACCAGCCGGGAGGAAGGCCCTGAGCCAGTGCTGAGGCCTTCCCGCTGCTGACGGGGAGGTGGAGCAGGGGCCAGGCAGGCTGAGGGGGACGAGGATGGGAGCCGCGAGCTCGCCCTCTGCTCCCCACGCCCACCTCCGCACACAGGGCCCCAGCGCCCGCAGCGCCGACTGCATTCTGGGCCCTCGGGCTTATTTTCCAAGCAGCAACCAGAATTTTTCCTTTAAAATGCAAACCATCCCCTGGCCTCCCATTGCACCTGAATAACACTCCAAGTCCTCATGAGGACACAACAGTGAGGTCAGCCCATGGCCCTGGCTGCCCCACCCGTGTCCACCAGCCCTGGCACCCCGGCCAGAATCACAGCAGACACCACCCTCCTCCTCACTGGGGCTGTGGTGTCTGGGACACAAGAGCTGTGGCTAAGCCTACTCAGATGAAGGGACCCTCGTCACTGGCCGCCGGCCCGAGCGCCGCACCCAGCAGCTGTGTCTATCCTCTGACTTTGTACATAAAACCTCTTACATCAGTGACCTCCCCAATGCTCAGACACCCGGGGGCCCCTGCAGCTCTGCCCCGCCCCACAGGGAAGGGACAGAGCTTCTCCGCAGGGGTGCCAGAGAAGTCCATGAGAGGTACGACACCTGTGACGTCCGGGCCACGGTGGGCTCAGACCTCACAGCTCCCAGAGCAAGTCCTGCTGCCCAGCTGCCTCCAGGGAGCCCTCCCTCCAGGCCCCAGCTTCTGTGTGACCCCAGATCCATATCTGGGGACTTTGAACAAGAACACCCAGGTCAAGACCGGGGAGTGCCAGCAGCCAGGCCAGGCCAGTCCACAGAGGCCGGGGACTCCCCACGCAGCAGCACAGCCCACAGCCATGGCCTGGGGATGGGAGCTGGGCAGGCAGCCACTGCTCCAGCCGCTTTGTGGTGACCAGATGCATGTGCCTGAGGCAACAGAAGGTGAGATGTCACATAAGTCTGGCTCTGTAACTTGAGGGAGGCATTGGCTCCCCACATGACATCCCCGCCAGCAACAAGGAGCTCCCCAGACTCTCCCAAGGCCCCCGGGCAAGGGCACCCGCAAGACCAGACCCCAGCCCTCCAAGCTGTGGCCCAGGAACAACCAGGTGGAAGCCACCACTGCAGGGGAGGCAACGCCTCGAGGGCGAGACCGGGCAAGCCTGCCCCGTAAGCGCACAGCGATGACCACAGTAACCCCACAGCTATCTGCCTCCTGGGCAGACGCCTTCAGCAGACGGGAAACCATTATGCGCAAGGTCCCTGCTCAGCGTTTCCACAGCTGGCCCCGGCCAGGCTCCAAGGGCACAGGGAAGCAAGGGCCACTCCTTTCTTGCTCCCAGCAGGTTCAGCAGCAGGAAGGCAGCTGGAGGCCGTGGCTATTTACAGGCTATTTCCACCCCTGAACCTCCTGGGCACAGACAGGAAGCACTTTAGAAATAGGCCAAGCAGAGAAGCCGGACCAGCCCCACCAAGTGGCCAGAGGCCTGTCTCAGAGCGGACGGCACCTGGCAGGGACAGGGCCACACCCTGGACCAGGCCTGGTGGGTGGGTCACAAGCAGACCAAGAGGTCAGTTCCCAGGCACAGTGGGGGTCACGCCGTCATGGGGGAGAGGAAGGAGCACCCAGTGTGCATGCACACACACACAAACACGTGTACGCACACACAGGGCATGGCCCAGAAGGTGGAGGAGGGCATGCCCAGGGGCAGGGGGACAGAGGACAATGAACACAATGCCCCGGGATCTGCGGAGGGGGCAGGAAGACCCCGAACACCACCTCGGCCAACCCCAAGCTCAGCTCTCAGCAGCTGCATTGGGTAATTGGTTGGCTTGATGCCTTTTAGAGAAAAGCAGAAAGCGAGGGGAGAGCATGCCAGACATCCTCCCTCCAGCTCCCACGGCAGGAGGGGAGACAGCGCAACAGAGCCTGCTCCCACCCACACACCCGCACACCCACACCCCAGGGCCTGACTCCAGGCCCACTGAGACACTGCGCACACCACTCCCAGGGGGCGGCCGCCACCCTGAGGAGCAAGGCCGGGGCAGCCCTGGGTCTGCACAGCCAGGATGGACACACCTGCCGCCCACACTGTCCCTGGGGTGTCCTTGTTGCAGCCGGTCATCAGGAGGTGTCCTAACCCCTTTCCCTGTCCCTGCAGCTCTCAGCCCACTGAGGGACCCCGCGGGGCTCCTCCCCCGGGACGTGGCCCTGGCCTCTTGCTTCTCACAAGTGTCCAGAAAGTGCCGTCCACCCCTCCCTGGGTGGCCGTTCTCTCCCTCCTGCACCTCTGGCCTTCCACCTTCTGCCTCCTACCCTGGGAGGCCCTCCTGGGTCCCCTCCTCATGCCCTCAGGAGGGCTGCTGGGCCTCCTGCACATTCAGATGCCTCCATCCTTTCCGTGCCTCTTAGAGTTCTGCCCAGGCAGGCCCAGCACCATCTGTGCTCCCCCAACCCCCCACCCCCATTCCCATGGCCTTAATTTTGGGCAGTGGCTTCTCCATCACTCCCCAGAAGAGGGTCTACAGGTCCTGTGACAGGATTAGGAGAACAGATCTCTGGGCACGCCCCGGACACAGAATCAGTTTCCACAGGGAGCTACATGGTTAGAGCCACTCCAGGCCAGAAACAGCTGGTGAGCCAGTCAGGCAACCAGACAGGGTAGATATTCTCCCAGCGCTGGCCAGCCTGGCTTGGCCCCCTCGGCACAGGCCCCTCTGAAGGCACAAGGCCGGCCAGCAGCAGAGCTGGGCATGAGTCCTCGACTCCTGCTGCTGGCCGTCAGGACAGGGAAGGATGGCCACTCACATCCCAGAGCCTGCCAGCTTGGTGCTCCTGCAGGACGAGGGGTGCCAACCGCAGGCTGGCCCAGGGGCACAGGCTCCACGGCCCCACGGAGGGAGGAGGGCGAGGGCGGCCCGCCTCCCAACACTCCCCTGCAGGGCAAGGAGGAAGCCAAGAGGCTGCCCTGGGAAAGAAGTCTGTTCACACCAGAGAGAGAGAGTCCCATTGTGAGACTGCCCAGCCCCCGAGAGGCAGCGGGGACAGAGGGCCCATGTTCCCTTTCGTAATTCAACAGGCAGCCCCAGGGAAGGCTGCAGCCCTGGCCCACAGCCCCACGGGGACAGAGGGGGTGCCCAGCTGGAGAACCCTGCCCTCCAGACAGCGAACCACTAGGCAGGGGCTGTGCCCCTTGGGCCAATCGGCACTGAGGCCCCGCTAGGACATTCCGTTCCCAGGGTAGGAGGCCCACGTGATGCCTTTCCTTCCTCTGCCCTCCCCTCCCCTCCCCATGCCAGAGCAAACACCGCGGCCCAAGACGACCTATCCCAGGCCTAACGGCAGGCACGGCTGCTGTCAGGACTCAGGGGCCCCAAAGGCAAGGGAGGGCCCAGCCTGCGAAACAAAAAGGAAAAGCTGGTCTTGCCTGGACCTCCCATGAGGCCACTACTCTGGGAAGCAGAGGGTGACCTCGTCCTGTCATTCTGCCCTAAGGCCCAGGAGGGTGGGTCAGGGAGGGCCCGTCTGTCCCCACACTCGAGCCCTGCAGCATGTCAGTGGCGGCTCCCATGAGCAGGCTCCCAGGCTGGCGTGCCACAGCACTCCTGGCCGCACAGGCCGTTCTCTGTGGAGCCCTGGGCAGGCGCCAGGCCTGGCGGGCTCCGCACGCTCCTGGCAGGGCCCACTTGCAGATCAGAGAGCTGTCTCGGAGAGTGGGTAAGGGTGGGGCAGCAGGCCGTCCAGCGGGCTGGGAAGCCCCAGGAGGGATGCAGAGAGGGAGCCAGAGCGCTTCCTATAGGGTCACTGAGCGTGCTCTGCAGGCAGCCAGGAGCACCTCTTTGCGGCCTTGTGGCCCACACGGTGTCTGCCACAGCTACCCAACTCTGCCCTGCAGGGCAAAAGCGATTTGAATTTCACATAATTTTCACATTATCACCATATATCCTGGTTCTGATTTGTTTCAACCATTTAAGAAATGTACAAGCCAGCCTGCAGACTGCACAAAACCAGGAAGGCAGGCCGGACAGGCTGTGGACTGTGGTTTGCCGACTTCATCCTCACCCCTCCTCTGGCCTCGTGCACACGAGGCCTCCCGGGAAAGCCCAGAACTGTCCTCATGGCGCAAAAATGCAAGAAGCCCAGGCAGAGCCCAGGAGGGCCACTGGTCATCAGGGTCTGCTAGCCTTGGCTGCTCCTCGTCCAGGTGGCAGGCAGCCGCTGGCCACCAGGGCTCTCTGGGGTTCCCACTGGATGCCGGTGCAGGCCTTACTCCATCTCCTGGCGCTCTGCCTCCTCGGGGCTCAGGTCCTCCTCCACTCCATAATCCAGGATGGAGCCCACGCCGAAGGCCCTGTTGTGCTGGATCAGAGGCTGGATGGATTCCTGGTCCTCGCCAGCCACAAACTGCCCGTAGAAGGTCATCTTCATCAGCTTGTCGAACAGCCTTTGCCCCAGAAGCCTCCTGGCGAGAAGGAGCAGCTGAAAGGCAGAAGGAAGCGCCTGTCCTGGGCTACCTGGACTCCCCTGTCCCCAGCTGGACTCCCCGCTTCCCAGCCCCTTCACTCCAACCACAAAGCCATGACATGCTCTCCCCAGGGCCACACTTGGCTCCCAGCCTTGATTTTATAGTGGAGACCACCCGAAGCAGCTTGCTTCTCTGCTTGCAGCAACTGTCAATCACCCATTCCTCATGCCGGGTGGCCACTCTTGCCTCCCTCCCTGCACGCTCACAGGTGACCCCAGCAGCCACAGCGGGGGCCTGACCATGACTTGGTGGATAAAGAAGTGAAAGGCTGGTCTCTCCAGGGACAGCAATGGGCATGTTCATAACATCCCCTGTACCCAGACCTCAGCGCCTGGCAAAGGGCCGGCCCTCCAATGGCTGCTGAACTGATGAACACGTCCACAGCACAGAATGCGTGCAAGTTCAGCGGCAGCAAGGCACAGGCTGACGATCAGCCAGGTGACCAGCTACAAAGGTCTGTGAGATGACAGCCCACCCTGGGACCAGTGGGGACTTGGTACAGTCATCTAGGGCCACAGCGGACCAGCAGCTCCGATGGATCTGCCCTTCGTGAAGACAGCTGCCCATAAACTACTCAGCTTTCTCCTCCAATCACATTTTGCCACATGCCAAATTTCTGCCATCGTTCATTCAAATGTCCCGAGCAGCTACTTCATGCCCAGCACAATTCTAAGCTGAACAAAAAAAGGTAAGGAACTCACAGCCTAGTTGGGGAGAGACCCCGAAACAGGAAGGAGCAAGTGATCCACTGACTGATTCAGAATGCGGGATGAGGGAGCACTTGCCAGGGCGGGTGGGGGTGGGATGTGTTTGCTAACTTAGATCTGGGGAGGGGTGCATGCCAAGGAGAGGGGGGTGACATGGAGCTCCTGCAGCGGGGACAGACAGGGCAGGAAGGAATGAGGACAACCAGAGGCCCCTGGGGTTGGGAGGGATACTGATGGGAGGGCACGCCCACCAGCTGTCTGGGAATTCACCTGCGTCCCTGCCTGCCACTTCCAGCTGCAAGACAGGAAAGCGGAGGTCTCTCAAGCCCGACGGCTCACAGAATCCCCTTTCTTGGGGGGTAGGTCTCTTGGGATCAGGGTGTCAGGGAACAATCTCTAGTCTAAGCAAAAGTACGAGCAAGTCAAACACCCTCAGCCCAAAGCAATCCTGAGCGGCCCACACTGGTCTGGGTGCAGGCTGGCACTCAGCAGGGACACCTCGGGCGCCCCAAGGACAAGGGCTTCCAGGCCATCACTTCCGCCTCACTGCAGCCTCTGTGTCTGATTTTCTCGCATCTTGTTGTTTTTATAAAGAGGATTAGAAAACGAAAATGAAAGTGCCAACATGGGAGACGGGCAGGCCTCCTCCCCATCTCGCCCTGAGCTGGGGCCCAAACTCAGGGAGCCCAGGGGCCAGAGGAAAAGCCAGGTCTTAAACAGATCAAGGATCACCCAGTGGCAGGCAAGGCAGAACTGGGGACCTGAAAACCATCATTTGGTTCTAGAAAAGAACCCCTGACACCACACACGTCAGCTCTGTGGACTGTCAGAAACACACCGTGAAGTGGGTGACTTACTCTCGGGCTGGCAAACCTTCCCAGCCAAGCCACATGGTAAACACAGTCGTGCATCACTCAATGACGGGGATGCATTCTGAGAAATGCATCGTTAGGGAATATGTCATCTGAATATCACAGAGCATACTTACACACACCTAGGTGCTACAGCCTGCTACACACCTAGGCTCTGTGGTACTAATCTTACGGGACCCTTTTGTATATGCGGTTCACCGTTGACCAGAACATCATTATGGGGCGCATGACTGTAATTTAGGCTGTGCAGGCCATGCGGCCTCTGGTAGAACTACTCAACTCTACCGCTGTAGTGCAGAAGCAGCCACAGCCAACACTAACTGAACAAAGACAGCAGCTGGAATCTGGCCCAGGGCATGGGCTAGCAAGCTCTCACACATCCTGCACCTGGGCTGACCACCTGCTCCCCAAGAGGAGGCAGGGCTCAGAGGGAACGGCCACCCAAGTCCCCGAGCCAGTCACTCGCCCTCTCAGCCTCCCTGGCAAGGGGAGGCCGGCCTGTCACAGAGGGGTGCGGAAGCACACGGGGCGGGCTGGCACTTCGAAAGCCAACTCAGAGCAAAGCAGCCCCTTTAAAACCATCCTGGTGTCAGGTGTGCCCCGGGTGGCACTACCTGAGACGAGGGCAGCCTCAGCCCTTCTCCAGGTGGGGCATTCTTCTCAGGTCGAGAAACTTGCAAGGGTAACACCTCCTGTCATTTCCACTGCGAAAGACGAAAGACGCCTGCAGAGCAAGAACAGGTACGGCCAGTTCTCTGCTGGTTTTCTGCCCTGCCCCACGGGCCCACTCACCGGCTTCTGCTCCGGCTCACACCCAAGCACAGAAACCTGTCAGGGAAGACCTGGATTTTCTAAACTCTTCTTAAAAAGGCCTGCCTTCTGGCAAGCGTGGGCCCCCACTGGGTCCGCAGACAGCATAGTAGCTCACACCAGGCTCCTGCGGGCTGACACTACCTGCCAGGAGCAGGTTTGACAGGAAATGCACAGACCGGCCCTGGCTCAGCAGGAGGAATTTTCACCGCAGGCCAGAGGGCGGGGAAGGACCAGCGGTTCTGCTGGGTGGCCCAGAACTCTGCAGTCTGGCCCTGCCCCATGTCCTCCATCACCAGGCACCGAGGCCACTGTCACCAGTGGGACCAACAGCAATCACAACGGTAGAACAGGTCCCACAGGGGGCACACACAGCACCTCACACCATTAGGGCGCTCCTTGAGGCATCCCTAGGGCACAAGAGGGACACAACGAGAGCTTCTCACCTCCTCCAGGCACCCGCAGCATGGTCCCTGCGCTCTGGCACTTGTCCCGGGCAGGCACCCCAGAGAGAGTGGGGCTGACACGTCCCTCCCACAGCAGCCCAGGACCCCCAGCTCTGCTGGCTTTCCCGCTTGTTTTGAAACCGGAGAAAACTCACTGCTGCACCTAGAGAAATTTGGTCCATTCCAAGCCCTCTCCCCCTCCCTCCCCAGTTCAGCCTCTTCCTCCTCCACCCCTCCCCCCACACTCGGCTCCGAATCTGAATCTGTCCAGGAAGCTTTGGGAGGAATCGAGGCCAGTAGCTCTGCTGACCTCACAGTTCCTTCAAAGCCGCCCGACGCTGACTTGGGGGGGCTCTGCCCTCACCTCCCACCTGCCATGGCCTAGCCTTCACCTAAGCCTGGGACCTGGTTGGATGCTCCTTCTCGTCCAACCTCCCCCAGGGGCAGAGGGAGGCAGCACAATGCCCTCAGTACGGTCTCACCTGAGAAACCAACACCACCTGCATGAGGAGCCTTCCAGACCCTCGGCACCGACAAGCGGACCCTTGCGAACTGTCCCCAAGGAACACCTTGAAAAAACTATCACCCCTATATCTCCAACTGACAGGAGCTAAAACGGTGTTCTGCTCTTTACTTTCCCCAAAGCCCTCACACTTTGTTACCAAGTTAAACTTTTAAATTTGGGTGTTTCAGCAGCTTCCCATTTTTCCCCCAACGCTGTCTTTTAGAAGTGGCCATGTCTGGGGAGCCCTCGGGCCACAGCCTCCCAGAACTCTGGAGTCCTAGGCCATGAGCCCTTCAATTACCACCAAACCGAAACGGGATGCAGGAGTTAAAATTTCCCTGGATTAGGGTGAAACTGGACCTGTACCCACAAGGTTAACATGGGAAACAAAATAACCCAAGTTTCCGAGCCTGCTGCGCAGAACAGCAGGAGGACCGCTGACGAGAGAGGAACTTGCTGACAGCCCTGCCTGACTAAGCATCTCCCAGGAACACTGAAAAGCTGAAGTGACTGACTGTAAACTTTAGACGTCAGAGACTGAAAATCCCCCGCGTGCAACACACAGAGTCACACCTGTGCGGTGGACTCTTACAACTTCAGCCCCCAAGGCCATATGCTCCCCCTGCCCTACCTAAAACCCCAAATAAAAACCCTTGCTTGTAGCTTTTCGGGCAGTTTGGAATGACAGCCGTTAGCTGCCGGTTCTGCTTGCTCAGCGCTTTGCCATAAAATTCCTGCTTTCTTCCACCACACCCAGCGTCAGAGATCGGCTTGCTGCGCCCAGGGTGAGGGAACTCACTTCAGGTTCGATATCAAGACTTCCCTGGGGGCAACATGGAGGACACCTAATTTTAAATTTCAGGTGACAATTTTGTATTACTGCAAGGGGTATATAGCTTAAAAATTAAACTGGTCTTTGTTTTTAGTTGGTGGTAACTGACATGTAGCAAAATTCACGGCCCAAAGGGAGTGCAGGAAACACTTTCCTTGCTGACTTGCCCCCCAACAGGCGACGCTCAAGGGGCCCCCGCTTTACACTCGGAAACTTCCGAAGGGTCCCGGGATGGGCAGAGGAGCCGCGCCCGGCCCGCCGCCCGCCGCCCGCCCGCGCACCTGCTCGTGGCGCGCCAGCAGCGCGGGCGAGGCGCACAGGCGCAGCACCAGCAGGCTGCGCGCCAGCTCCCAGCTGCGCCGGCTGCGGTACGCCTCCTGCGCGTTGCCGAAGTCCACGGCGGGCACCGGCGGCCGCGCGGCCTCGGCCTCCCGGGGTTCCGGCACCGCCCTCGGGCCCGCGGGCTGCTCGCGGGTCACGGGCGCCGTGGACAGCCGGGCGAGGCGGGCGGGGCCGGGGCGCAGCGCGGAGACAACGCGCCTCAGAGCCATGGTGGGGCGGCCGCGCGCGTCTCGGGGCTGCTTAAGTACGCCCGGCACGTCGGCTCCGCCCCGCGCTCCGCCACGCCCGCTCCCCGGGAAGCTCCGCCCCACCCCGCCCCTGCCCCCGCGCCCGCTCCTCGGGAAGCCCCGCCCATCGCCCTGCAGCCACGCCTCTCCCTGGAGGCCTCGCCCACCGAGAAGCCCCAGGTGCGCCTGAAATCCTCCTTCTCAGCCCGTGGCCACACCCCCGAGCCAAACCCTGTGTCCTTGGCTGCTCACCCCCAGCTCCGCCTTCCCCGCAGGAGATCCCGCGCTCCCGGGACTGAGCGGACGATCGGGTGTAGGATTTCCTCCCAGGTAGCCCAGTTGGCCAGGTGAGCCCGCCGGTCAGCTCCATGGCACACCTGCACACCTGGGCTCCTCCCTGGTCGTTGAGCCCACGAACTCTCCGCGGAGAATCCGGGAAGGCCAGAAGGCAGTCCCCCTTCTCTCATTTAAAGGGCGTGTGGGAAGCCATCCGTCCTCTCCCCTGGGCCCAAAGCGCGACTGTGGGAAGGAGGCCCCTTAGGAGCTTGTCCAACTCTGAACGTCTCCCCGTCTTCCCAGCCCCACCGCCAGCCCAACAGGCAGCCGCGGACCTCCAGGCTCCCTGTGGAACTCCTACAGCCCGCATGGTTCCAATGCCCCTTGCAGCCTTCCCTACAGGCCCTCAGTGCCACCCTTGGGGCTGATAGCAAAGCCACCTGCTTTGCAACTGCGCTCGGACCTCTCTTCACTCTTAAAGGCCTTCCCACGCTCTGCCTCTGCCTCGGATGCCCTTCCTTCCAACATTGTGAGTGACCTGTTGCTAGAGTGCCAGGTATCACCTCCTGGGAGGGACTTGCCCTGATTGCCTGCCCTAGTGCCCACGTCCCCATCACTCACCCCTCCACCCCCGGTGCATCTCCTGAGGACACTCCTGCACCCCCACAGGTGCTGGATGTGGCTGTGGGGGCAGCCTCACTCCCTGCCTCACCCTCCTTGCCTACCTGGTTCACCAGGTGCTCCATGCACCTTAGTGCACTGGACACCCTGACGTTTAGGGCCAAATAATTCTTTATTGTGGGGTGCTCCTGTGCATCACAGGATGTTTATCAGCATCCCTGGCCTCTACCCACCAGATTCCAGTAGCACCCCTCCCCCAGTCTTTGCTAATGTCCTCTGGAGGACACCATCACCACTGCTTACATGGGAGGAGCTTCCTGACACAGTCACAGTCTTTCTGCCCCTTTTCCTCCTGTTGGAGTCGAAGAGAAAAAGGGAAAGACAAAAGGGGCACAAGAGCTGAGGCCCAGAGGCAGCAACTCACTGTCCCTCTGGTACCTCAGAAACTTAGCTCACCAAGGGAACACCACAGCCGTGGCAGCTGGCCACAGCCACCAGACTCCCCCATTTTCCTTTCATAGATGAACTTCCCTCCACCTGAAAACCCTTCAGGGGCTCCCCACTGCCATCTGGACAAGGTTGCATGGCTCAGCCTGGCTCATTGGCCCTCGGTGGCCAGGCCCCTGCCCACACCCACCATACCTCTCACCCATGCTGGTCATTCTGCAGGTCACTCCTCTGAGCTCTGGGTCGTTTGCATGCTGCTCAAGGGCACCTGCCCCTCCGCCTGCTCCCAGCCTCCTTCCTCCTCCTCCCCAGGGTCAGTTTGGCAGGCACGTCCCTGGCTGGGCACCGACTTGGTTACAACTCCTTCTTCTTGCACTGCCACATTGCAGCCACTTGCCATGTCCTCCACATTGCCTCCTTAATGTGTCTTTATTGAACGAAGGAAGGAAGGAGCAAGTGTGATGTGGGAAGTTTGACCCCAGGCTCTAGTCTGGAGACTGTAGGTTCAAGACTTATTCTCCAGCTCTACCCTGACCCCTGAGGCACCCTGAACCACACCCAGCCCTTGCCCAGTACCCTGGCTCCTGCTTCCCATGCAGACACACCTTTAATGCCACATTCTCTACTCTCCCTGGGCTGCGTTCCCCCAAGAGCATCTGCACCCAATTACCAGGATTGAACCTTGGTTCCCAGTCCTCAGCCTCTGCTCAGGCACCGTGTGTCAGGAGAAATAGAGCACCTGAGGCAGGCACAATCCTGCTTCAAGGGCATGTGCACACGCCAGTCAGTGGTGGTGACCTGCTTCCAGCTGACACACAGGTCTGGAGAAGGTGGGAAGAGCTGACCCCAACCCTCCCCATCAGGAGCCGGTACTGTGCTCAGCTCATTTTCAGGATAATCCTGCTGCTCTCCTCTGCCCCTGCCCGGTGACCTCCCTCTAAGGCACTCACACCAGGTGCAGGGAGAGGGGGTTCCTCTGGCACCACCAGCTGTGCCCTGATAATGGAGACGGCTGATAACCATCCACATCACACACACTTTTGGCAAAATGATTGAGCGCTGAAATGTCAGGTCAGCTCATGGGCTGACTGTCCCAGGCACCTCTCCCCTGACATTCATGACAAACGCCAGACATCTCCATCGCTGCTCTGACTTAGGAAATAGAGGGGTGGAGTCTAAGCCAATACACTGCTGACAAGGCCAAGGCAAGGCCAAGGTAGAGCTCACAGATGCAATGGCGTTGTCACATGGTGATCGGCATTGGAGCCCAGCCTGGCACGGGAACCTCAGCCACCTGGACAGTCCCCAGGGGTGTGCTTAGTCCCGCCCCATGTGGGTGGGAGGTCACATGGGTTCCTTGCCCCATGTCTTGCAGTACAATGTTCACTCCATAGCCTGTGGCTCGCAAGCACAGGGCTTGGGGTTGATGGCAGTGAAGACGGTAGAGCAGGAGCTGCAGGGATCCAGGCATCCACCGAGCAACAAGCAAGCACAAAGGAACTGTCTTAAGCAACTATTTTGCAACTCTGGATCCTAGTAGACTGCTTGCAACCTCCAGAGAACAGCTTGATGAATAAACTGGTAAATTTCAGTCCATTTCCATCAATGTCCACATTTAGCAATCACCTACCATCACCCCTCCCTCAAACCTGGGGCAAGCAGTCATGGGCACAGTGGCAAGTGATCCTGGCTCATAGCAGCACTATTCACAACATCC